AAGGTGATGGTCTCATGTTCCTTAAAAACCTTGATTTTTTTTAATTGCAAAAGTTCTGCGTCTTCTTACAACTAAAATATTAAAGGTAGAGCTTTTCGCTTAATGAAATCTGTTCATTAAATTTTTTTTTGAAATATCGTCATGTATAATTTTTCGAAAAATGACGACTGAGATGTGTTAATTCGGAGAGAATTTGCGGTATAAAAATTATTACGTAAGCTTTACTAAGGACGAGAAAATATGTACTGTTATAGCACCAGTAGTTTTTTCTTGAAGAATACAGATTGCACGACGTTTTGGGAGATTGTGTGTGTATATATATATATATATATATATATATATATATATATATATATATATATATATATATATAATTACAAAGTTTCGAAGTTTTACGAAGCTTAAATAAAAATTTGTATTTGCATGGAAATCCTGTTTCTACTCATTATATCTTAGAACATTAGGTACGAAAAATAATTATCTTAAAGCAAATGTAAACACAAATTCGACAATTAAAATGGAGTTTCATACAGTATCATACAGTTATACCATGTCCCAACAATGAGAAGGAATTCTTGAATATCCAGCTGCCTCTAAGCACCTCTCAAATTACATTGATAAAGAAAATTTATCTTCATAATAGTAATTCTATAAAGACGCCAAAAAATAATAATTTTTGCAATTATCAAAAAATTGGGGATTTGAACGAAAATGAGACCTGCACCATTCCCTTGAGCGCCCTTACGCTATCCGAGGTCGAAATTTAATGAAAACATTTGTACAATTTTTTTGAAAATTTTGAAAGGATGCCAGGGGCGAGGGTCAGAGCTGACACGGACTTTGGTGGGATAAGCTGATGCCCGCAGACTTATACCACAGACCCCTATCCAATGGGGTATTCTGACAGAAGAGCTTTGAGAACAGCGGTCTAGAACAGAGTATAGTCAGCAAGTCCATCTGTCTCCCCCTCAAGGTGACCCCTGCGTACTCTTTGAGGTAAACCACGGAGTAGCTAATGAGAGAATGATGAAGGCGCCGACTCCGGCGCTTTAAAACGGGAGCCTGGGGTCTATGGGAAGGAAACCCCTAACAGAAAACCAAGACGAGAGAGGGGCTCTGGCGTTTAGTGAAATTTTGATTAAAAAAAATGTTCGGTTTCCTAACAGTAAACGGTAATATTATTTTAACGAACAGTAAAACCGTGTTCTAAATGGCAATTTTATTTGAAAAATTTGGGGTTGTTTGGGGCTAAACGACTAAAATTTACAAAAAATATACAAGACCTTAAAAAAAGAACTAAGTATGGACAAAAAATTTCATTTGAAGATAAAAACCTGTAATTTTGGGTCGTGGGAAGACACCGAAAAATTTCATATTTTAAAATTTTTGAAAATTTAGAATTAGCAGTGAAAATAGGACTTATGTCACTTTTGTATTTCTGTTATTCTACTCTTACAAGAAATTTAAAGAAAAAAATTGGAGTCATTTTTGAGAAAATTTTCAAAATGTCCGGAGAGCTTCATGTAAAGTACTCACACATTTTCAAGAATGATTTTCAAAATCTTAAAGTTTCGATTCGAGCAAGATGAACAAGGGTTTCTTCAATTTGGAAAAAAATCCTTCGCATGATTTAGGTTCTAGTAGTGTTCACAGGACCCAGACGGACGGACGCACGTTTTGAAAAAAAAAACAACACCTTTTCGATGTCTGTGGAACCCAAAACATGTATTTCCGTTGAAATCTTGAAATCCATTTTCCGCAGCATTACCTAACTTTTCCTGTACTATATATTACTCCGTATATACGTACGTATACAAGAAATAAAATGTACGTAACTGATATTTGAAACCAATTTACAATAAAGATTAATTCATTATTATAGATATATTCTTGGAACGTTTCACAACACATTTTTAAAAACATTTGATGCAATTAAACGAATATATTAACTTTTTGATTTCCTTGTTTGGCACAAAAATGCTAGAAAAGCTTTTTACTCTTGTGAAAGCAACGTTAAGTTGTTCATGTGAAGATACAGCATCGTTCAAGTTCAACCCTACTCTTTGCAAAATTAATTAACTTTATTACGGAACAGAGGGGTACACCCGTGCAATTTAATCACATAGAAGATTAAGTAATTCGTTTAATTTCACATATTTGCAGATTCTTCACATCTCTGAATAGTGGGGCAGTATAGCAGCGCAGCTCCTGCTCCCTGCTTCCGGGTGTTGGTTGTGTTGCTCGCCTGACCCTTGTGGGGTCTCTTCCAGCAGGATGTTGTAGTGTGTGTGCGGTCTAGATTGTGCTCTAACTCCTCTCCTCCGTACGGGGACGGGGATTGGGGGTCGGAGTAGATTGGTTATTTTGTTAAGGTGGATGGGTTATTTCGTTCGGGTCGCGTTGGGTGACGGGGGGGAGGGGAAAGGAAAGGGATTTGGTTGGGATGGGTTTGGTGGTGGTGGGGGGGAACGGTCCGTTTCAGTTGGGTGTAGTGATAGGATTCTATGGTTTATTGGCGAAGGGTGGATTCTGTAATTTTTAGGTTGATTGTGGTTTTTGTCGTAGCATATTCGTCTTTCTTTGTCTGTCTTGCGTTCGTTGATTTGCGTTTCGTGTAGTTGGTTTTGTCGGCTTGTCGTTTCTCTTCTTCGTTTGTCGATTTTTGTGTCGTCTTCTAGCGTTAGTTACGTCGCTGTCATGAGTTTAGTTTTGCTCTCTGGCTTAGGTGATGGGTGGGGGAAGTTGGAGGATGTCAAGTGGATGCTGTTTGCGGGTAAAGCGGGGTGGGTTTCTTAGGATATGGTGGTGGGGAATGATGAGTTGGCGGAATTTAGGATTGAGGACGAATTTTTGTATTTGAGCTTTTGCCGAGTGATGGAGGTGTGTGAGGATGTGAGGGATTTGATGTTGGGATCTCAGTTGGTTGAAGGGTGTGTGCATGGGTGGGCGGAATAGGAGGCGGAGGACGTAATTTTCCATTCGGGTAATTTTTGACAGGTTTTGCTGGGAGGTGGCAGTCCAAGTCGGGTGGGCATATGAAATGATGGGGCGGATATAGGTGTAGTAGGTTTGAAGTTTCTTTTTTGTGGGAAGGGAGGGATGGGTGAGGATGGGTAGCAGGGCGTTCGTAATTCGGGTGGCTTTTGTTCTGGTCTTGTGGATGTGGTTGGTCCAGAGGAGGCGTCGGGAAAAGGTGATTCCAAGGTATTTAACTTCGCCTGTCCAAGGGATTGGTGTGTTTGCAATGGATAGGGGAGGGGGATTGGAGGGGAAGGTTTTATATGAGAAGACGATGTCTTGTGATTTTGCGGGATTGATGATGTTGGCGTTTTGTAAGGGCCAGAGTGTGAACATGTCTAAAGCAGATTGGAGACGGATAAGGGATCGGTTTAGGGAGTGGAAGGATGTAAGGAAAGCAAGGTCATCGGCGTAGAGGAACGTTTGCACTCCATGGGTGCGTGGGATGTCATTGATGTAGATGGAAAATAGGATTGGGGATAGGACGGCTCCTTGTGGGACGCCGGCTTGGATCGGGTGGTCGGGTGGTCAATTTTTATAGGTAGCGAACGTGGAAATAGCGGTGACTGAAATAGTTTTGGAGTAAGGAATGGAAGTCGTTGGGAACGTACGGTCGAATTTTCATAAGAAGGATTTGGTAGGAGACTGTGTCGTAGGCTTGGGTGAGGTCGATGAAAGTGGTTGGGATTTCTTTTTGGTCTTGTAGTGGGGTGGCTATTGCAATGGAGAGGTTCAGGGTTTGGAGGGCCGCGGAGCGGCCCTCTCGGAAGCCGAATTGTGAGATGTTGATGATGGGGTCTAGGATGGGTGTTAGTCGTAGGAGTAGGATTTTCTCAAAAATTTTGCTAAGGATTGGTAGGAGACTTATGGGGCGGTAGTTTGCTGGGAGCCGATGGTCCTTGCCGGGTTTGGGGAGCATGGTCACGCGGGCGGTTTTCCAGGCGGTGGGGAAATAGGACAGTTTAAGGCAGGAGTTTAGGATGAGAGTAAGGAGGTCTATTGCGTTCTTGGTTAGGTGTTTGATTGGGGATGGGAAGACTCCGTCGGGTCCTGGGGACTTTGTGCTGTCTATTGTCTTGATAATGTCGTATTTCCTTGTCATTAGTCGTCCAAATTTGTTGTCTTTCTGGTGGTAGTGTGGGAGTTTTCAGGTAGTTTAGGATAACGTTGTCTGGGATTGGGAGACTGGAAGGGAGGAAGCGGTCGGCTAGGGATTTTGCGAGGGTGTTTGTGATGGTTTGGGGGTCAAAGGTGAGGGTATCGTTTGTCAAGATTGGGGATATTGGGGAGGGGTGGTTGCGAACTGCCTTTATATATAATTTTAATATGTATTATATATGGTGTGGTACCATACCAGACATACGTGAGTACTGTAGGCCATGTCACAAACTTTTCTCAGAAAAAATAATGTCAACACTTAAGGTGCGTTTACACGAAGAAACAAAGTCTCCTGCGCGTTTACACGGGGGAGTTTACCGCAGCATTACATTACTTTCCCAATACTACGTATATTATATTACTAATGCATGCATGTATACGAGAGAGTAAAAATATTTTCAAAATTTTGTTAATGTTCCAAGAGATTCAGTGAAGTGGCCCTAAAAACTATGTTTAAATACTTAAGGCTTTCAGTTGAGACAGAATGTTCGGAGAATATCAATTACGGGAAAATCTTGTGTATGATTGAAGTAATTATGTTCATTTGCAGTTTTGCTGAAGCCATCTTTTTGATATTAATGTCTCCCTATAAATGATGCCCAATTTCTGTCAAAATGTATACATCAATTTTTTGTGTTACATAGCTGAGTGTTGATTATATTACTGATGACATTAATATCATGAAATTTAATTTTCTAAAGGTAATAAATATTTGTAACATCAAGTTAAAAAAGCTGCAATATTTAGTAGGTACTTCAAAAAGACAGTACAATGTAATATTGCAGCTCCTCAAGTTTTACAAAAAGACACACATCACTTTCCAAATACATATAAAATATTATTTGTTCATATACCGTACATCCGTTCATGAAATACTATAATATTTAAATTCCCAGTACAGTGATCAGTAACCTATGAAACATAGAATATAATAGAGGACATATATTTTTTTCATATATTGTATCAAAAATACTTTAAATATTTAATGTTATTTATGAAGAGCTACAGCAGTTATGCTTATATTTGCTAAAAATTGACAATGTTAAAAATCCTGATAAAACAAATTAAAAGATCTTTTTGCGGAATAAAACTTTTGACCTCTAACAATAGAATATCATTTAGAAATTATATGAATTATCTGATTTTTATTGCGAATAGATATTGTAATTTTACTAATTTTTTCTGAATTTTTAAATATAGGTTGATCCTTTCTTCTTTTATATGAAAATATAAGATCTACACCGTTGTACATTCATTTCTAATTTTCTTTAAGTAAATTTGCTATGACAGGATGTTTTCTCCATTCAGTTTCTTCAACCATGCGAAATAAGCTTAAGGCCAAGGCAGGAAAAGCTGAGAGAAAGAAGCTTTGTAGATTTTGATTTCCATTGACAATTTTTTTTTCCGTTTGTTCTTCCATACAAATGCGAATAAATCTCAATAATCCTGTGGGAGTATCTGAGTAGGAGTCATCTATTATCACATCCGGGAATGCAGGTTTAACTATTGAAACCTAAATACAAAACAAAATTAATTTATTAATTGATTAAAAATTAAAACAAATCTGTCTTAAAAATACATAATATACTATCAGTAAATATGGTTGTGATAAAATTGTGATAGAATATCTTGGTTTGAAATCAACATTACTCACTGAACCAAGAGAGGTCATTATTTTCATTTTGAAAATAATTCATGAAATTAATAATCGGTGAAAATAATAAATGAGATAAATTTCTACACAAAACTTCTGAAAGTTCAGTGAATAATTTTGATTATGGAAAGAGATATAAATGAAAAAAAGTTTTGAAAATTTTATTTTATGTTGGATTAAAAAAATCTCAATGCAGTTTGTTTTTAATGAATGTTTTGTGATCAGAATTGTACTGACAATCCTAAAATAAATTTGCATTTTGAAAAAGAAAGAAAGAAAGAAAGAAAGAAAGAAAGAAAGAAAGAAAGAAAGGAAAAAATGATTGGAAAATGATTTGTTATTACTGACAATAATTATAAAAATAATGTCCTAGTGATATATGATAACAAATACATTTATGAAATTGGCTAATGTCGATATATATTTTTTTTCATTACTACACCACAGGGCCTCATTAAAAAATTAGCCTGGTTTTGGGATAATGATAACTTCAGCATCTTACCATACGCTAAGAACATGTATCAGTGTAAAGACTGCATTAATTAGATTCTATATCATAACTGTCCCTTTATTTGACAACTATTACAAAATTCCATCTGTAATAAGATCAAAACCAGGTATCTTTTTGGTATTAATATTTGTCTTTCTTTCGTTAAATAATTCTTTTCTAGGAACAAATTCAATTTCTTCAGATTAAATATTTGTATTTTATTCCACATCCACAACCGAATGAATGTCATTAGGCTTGGATACTACCTCTAAAAAGGTTTCTGCTTTCTGTCTTGCACCCAAGGACCATTTATTTGTTTAAGAGGTGGCATTTGAGGGATTGGTCTTTTGAGTCTTTTTGTTGCCATCTATAATGAGTAGTGAGATGTACTTGCTATCAGATTGTCTACATAGTTATCCTCTTCTAGCATGTATTTTTTTCTTCAAATATGTTTCTAATCTCCTTAGGATAGTAATTTCCTATCTTTAAAGCAATTTACTTTGTGTTGCTTCTTAGATTGTATTAGTGAATCACTCAAATTCCATTTCTTACTGCTGTAGGTCTTTCTACTCATTCTTAGGTTAATATTTGTTTCCTGTTTAAAACTCCCTCAGCCAGTGGTTTTATTTATTAATATTAGTGTTCTATTTGTTTTCTGTTTCCCCCTCTCATTTAAGGAAAGAATCACAGCAGAGTGATCATAGCTCAGATCAATATCCATTAACTTTAGAAACACTTTCCTTGATATTAAGAAGTCAAAAATGCCAGGTGTTTTATACTGGGCCAGAAAGAACATTTACCCAAAGAAGGACAAGTGAAACTTCCCTTCCTACCTTCCTGTCTCTCTCTCTCTCTCTCTCTCTCACTCCCTTCCTCTCAATCTTACCACCTTTCATTGCTTTGGTGGTGATCAATATAGATAACAAGACATGTTTGGTGTTATATTTTCCCCCACAACTATAAATCTCTTTCCATATACTCAAGGAATTTCTTGTAATCTGTTCCCTTAGTGTTGTGACTTGTTACAAATATTATTTATTATACCAATATTCAAATTTTGATTAATTTACTACATATTTCATTCCTACCACTGTGAGTTGAAATTCAGTTGATTTAAAATGAATCTCCTCATAATAATTAATTGTATTTTTTTTATTAAGAAAGCAATACCACTTCTTGCTCCTTTATCTAGATGGCTGATACACGCTATCCATTTACTTAAAAATATGCATATTTTTTGAACGTGTCTCAGAGATCACACTTTGTCAATATTCTATGAAGTGAGAAAAACATCTTTTTCTTGTTTCCTGTTTTGTAAATTGTTTGCTTCCAGATAGCAATTTGAATGTCCCATTTCATTTACTAACCCTGTGTGTAACCATAGGTCCTCCGTGTTTCATTGGTGAGCATGTTCACTTTCCACAGCACATCCCCCAATTCCCATCCGGGGAAAAATTATAATGGTGTGCTTTCCTTACAAATGTCCCAGTATCTATTGCTGTGTGATGATGAGAAAGCCCGTCCTAAGGTTATGAAGACTAGTATATATAGTGGAGGTATGTCTTTGTGGGTGATCTGGGCTGTCCGGGTGACGCCGCGTCGAAGGCTGAGTTGCCGACGTTTCGACCATCCGCGGCGTCACCCGGACAGCCCAGATCACCCACATGACTCTGGTCGCGGAAGCCTACGACTTCATCGAGGTATGTCTTTGTGGTAACCACATAAACCTCTTAACCCATGGCCACCTGGGCCACCGTTGGTCGGCCATGGCCACGGCCACGGCCATGGCCCGGCTGTTGAGCCAAAGAACAGGACAGGGCATTATGTAACCATGCCAAAGTTATTAACTTTTAGCTTATCAAGGCTTTGTGATTTATCTATCATGTACATACATTTTGTGTTGAGTCATTTCCACCATAGTAATTTATGCAGATTGAGCAAGGTGAGTATAATATGTAAATGAAAGAATAAAATATTTTGAGCAAATTAATACTCAGTTTGTAATGTCTAGATTTTATCTAAAGAATTTGGTTTCCTAAGGTAAAATTATCTTATATGTATCATGACATTATTTTTAACAGTAATTCAGTACTACTTACAAATCATTTACAATAATTTGTACGCAAGTTCAAAGAAATTAATGTGAATGGAAGCCTGTAAATCTCCAAAATTCCGTACAAAGTCTAAGTGAGTAAACTACTAATAGCTATGATACCTCAAATGTACTGCGATGTTAAACATTTGATTTGTACTCACCCAGTCACCTTTGACATTATCTTCCATAGCTTTAAGATCTAGAGTAGAGTGAAATTCAGTCAAAGGTAATGGGAGAGCTTGCCCAACACCATCTATTCCACAACAACCTAAGACAAATTTCCATTTTCTTGATGTATCCCAGAAGAACACATGACTGGAGATTCCAAAAGAATACAATGGGAAAGAGTAACATTAATGTTCCAAAACATGGCTTACACAGTCATTAAATAAGTAAATTGCATGTTTACACACCTCATAATATCTGCTATTGTGGGACGATTCTTTGGGTCAAATACCATCATCCAAGAAATTAAATCATTAACCTCACAACTAGTGGTTTTCAACTTAATTCGCCCCTTGCAGACATTTTCAATTATTTCATAAGCCTCAGCTCCAAATGGATGTAATCCACCAGTCATAATGAAATGTATCATCATACCAGTCACTTGAATATCGGATTTAAATGAGCAAAACAAGTTATTACTCTGTTTATAGGCATCGTGAGTTTCCCGAGCCCACCAAATGATTGATGAGCTTGGAGGAGCATTAATTTGATACAATATCTGCAACTAGACAATCAGAAGAAAACAGAAACTCAAAATCAACAATTATACATTCAAAAGACATTAATGACAACTTACAGGATGTAATCCAAAGTCAGCTAGTTTCAATGTGCCCCGATCATCCAGAAGAACATTAGATGGCTTTAAGTTACCATGAATGACTGGATCAGGTAGTGAATGAAGAAAATTTACCCCCAATATTAGCTGAAAATATAATTGTTATTCATTATTATTGGCATCTGTAATGTTTTCTTCAAATTTTAAAATGCATATTGAAATACCTTATTAATAAAATTTACCTGTTTCACCAATTCTGAAGACCGATACTCCAATTTATTGTGTAATTTGAGACACATAAGATACTCTCCTAAATTACACTCACACAGTGAACTAATAAGAAATAATCTACATTCATGATGCCCACAATAAATATAACTGAGAAGATGTTCATGCTTGAGTTTCATCAGTGGAGTAATCATTCTCTGCAGTAAAAGGCCAACAGTTGAACTTGCATTTCTGGGATTCATATACAAAACCTTAGCAGCCAGTGGAAGTTTATTGTCACCCAGACCAAAGAAAACCTCTCCAAAATTGCCACCACCAGGCAATTTCATGGGACCATCAAATAAAGCAATTCTCTTCATACCTACACCGTCTAGACACCAGTGACTGTACATAGGTGGTATATTTTGAAGAATACCAATTAAAAACTTCCAGCGACTTGCATAGTTAGGTAGCCCAGGAATCATTATTAAGGGTGCCACTTGAGTTATATCTGTAGGATTTGATGATGTGCCCATAGATCTAGAGAACACACACAAGAAGACATCCTAGCTCCAATTTGACCGTTTTAATTTCTATTTTTGGCTTTAAAAGTGGAAAGACCAAAGTTGTTAACTTTAGTCTTAAGGTATTAATTATCTGATAATATAACTTTTTGACAAATGATTATTTTGGTCCATGTGTTGAGGTAATTTTGTATATCTAAATACATATGGAACGTTGATATAAAATAAATCATTTTTCCAAAATTTGGATATAATACAAATATTCTGAAAATATTGGTTTAAAATAATTAATATTAATAAAATAGAATTGGTTTAGAATAATTAATATTATGACCATGCCAGGTAGAAAAGTTGGGAGTCATTTTTGTCTTTATCATTTAAAATGGCAAACCTTCAACATTTTTATGATTATATAATTTGCAACATATATATTGAGTCTGTTTTGACTCTTTTCGCTAGACAATTCAATATGTTTTTCAGCATTTATTTATATGTTTTTTGTCCAGAATGTTTTAGACCATTTTTAAACCAATTAAAACAGACATTTTAAATAGAAAACATAATTTATTTAACCATTTTAATAAAATTTACTATAAATTTTTAAAGTCTTTCATCTCTATGTTTCAAAGATTTCTTTCCCTCTTCTTCAGGATTTACTCTAAATGTAAGGTAAACAAAAACTATTATAATATTAATCAGCTTTAAGACCATCTATCTGTAAAATAAGTTAAATTTTCTGCCTTTAAATAATAGTAAAACACTATTGTTTCATGTTTTCAAGTATATTCATTACTCTATATAACAGTAAAACAAAGAGTTCTTAACATATTTTTTTAATCTAAAAAAAAAAAAATAGACCACTTTTTAGTTTCTTGGTCATATAGTGACCACTTTGATTATTTTACTGTGATTGATAACTGTAGAGGAAACATGTAAGGCCAACTTAAACACCCACAAATATCCATGCCTGACGCAGGATTCGAACATGTGACCTTTTGAACCAGGGCTTAACATCTTTGATGTAAACCTATTCTGCATTCTGTCATGTCAGACCAGAGTGAGCATATATTTGAAGTATGAAACGAGTCAGTTATGTATGCTTGGAGAGGAATTATAGGAGGAGGAAGAGAAGAGTGGAAATGGAAGAAAGGAAGATGTTGGTTAAAATTTAAATTTGAATAAGAAGGAAAAATTTCTGTGATGGAAATTTACATACCTTGCATTAAAATATCTATGTTGTGAATAAAAATAAATACTAGGAATTTGATTACTTTAAACTTTAGTATCCATTGTGAAATTTAACCTTATATGTAAATTTTTGGAAATCAATCTCGAGTAGATCTACTTTTATGGTCTATGATAAGTACAATCTCAAAATCAAATCTGTGATCAAGTTTAATTGTACGTTTGGTTAATGAATTTTACTTGTTTGGATGATCTTTAAAATTATTTTAGTGCTCATTAGTTTGTTTTTCCAAATTTTTCTTCATCTGGCTTGTAAACTGTATGTAAGTGTGCAATCTATACAAGAAATTTGATTTAATTGAATTTGACTTTGTTTGGTGTAAATTTGATTTCCTTTTTTTTTTTAAAGTATGATTTACTAAAATTTTGAAAATTCAATATTGTTTTGTGCAGATAGAAGGCCTTAAAGCTGATTGATATTATATTAGTTTTTGTTTATCTTACATTTAGAATTTCTCCTGAAAAAGAGGAAAAGAAAACCTTGAAATGTAGAGATGAAAGACTTTAAAAATCAATAGAATATTTAATAAAATGGTTAAAGTAAATTATGTTTCCTGGTTAACATGTCTCTGTTTTTAATGGTTTCAAAAATGATGGTCTAAAATTTTTAGAACAAAAAAACCTAAAATTAAAAATTAATGATATATAATTTAATGTTTTTCACCACCCAACTCCTATCTACAAATTTCAACATAATTTTTTCAGAATTTCTACTCACCTTCCTGACATAAAGATCGCTACTTTTTCTGGACATAACATAGCTTCAGGCAAGTTCATATACACTGGCAAAGGTGGTACTTGCTGAAGTGCATGGCAGTTGTTAACTTCTGCTTGAATTCTCAACAAAGATTCCAAAGACAAAAGTGGATGAGCAGGGAATCCTGGAGGTGGAGGGACATATTGAATTTGATGGTTTACTGCATTTGCACTCAATTCAGCATTGCTAACAGCTGCAAATGTGGTTGGTATTGTTTGTGATTGCCGAATTGTGGAATGGACAGAAGATACAATACTATTAAAGACAGCCTCTTGAGGAGAACTTGAATGATCTTTAAATAACTCAGCAAAACTCAGTTTTTTGGATTGATTTTCTACAGTTGGCTTAATATTGAGAATAGGTTGACAATGTATTAAGTCTTGGATCTTCTTTTCCTCTGAGGCTGTAAGAGAGGATCCATGCATGTCTGTATTTGCATTTAATACATCTACAATTTTTATATTCTCTGAAGAGTCACTGTTGTCATCACATAAAATATTGATTGCTGGCTTTGGATCCACAACCAATTTTGAAGAATTGTGAGCACTACAGGAGTCAAAGTTCTGGTGACTATATATTAAATCTCCATTTTGAGATACAGAATCCCAACAATTCACCATGGAATCTTCAATAGCATTGTCAGCATTCATTAAATAGTTCATTTCATCCAAATTATTGGGTTGAAATGAAAAATCATCATCATCATATTTCTTCATGTTTCTTGTATCATCTGACTGTGTGTCAGATTCAGCAGTTGACTGAGCTCCACCGAAGCTCGAAAGAGTTTCTTTAGAATCCACCCCAGAAACTGTTGTACAGTAATCATTTTCAGATTGTATTTGTTTTTGTATTAATTCATCAACATGTTTCATTTTTGCATCTAATTTTTTGTCATGTCTTCTTATCATTTCAATAACTGAATTTGCTATATCCCTATAGAGTTCAATATTTTGTGTTTCTTTTAGTTTTTCTTTAAAAGATTCCCAAATGGATTTGAGGTACACAATATAATCTTTCTCCAATTTTGAAAGAAATGGCTTCAGCTTCATAAAGTTTTCATTTGTTCTTTGGTCTACATTAAAGCCATCTCCTCCTCCACAATGACCTGGATAATTATGATCATGTTCATATTGCCAGGACTTGACATACTTTATCAATAATTTTTTGAACAAGTCATCCAAAGCAAATATGCTTCCTGAACCCATATGTTTCTCTTCTTCTGCGTCACCACAAACAGATTGACTTCCAATAAACTCTGATGTATTTTCTTCATGTGGAATGTTAAACATTTGTGATTTCAACTGGAAAACATTTGGAAGAGCTGGATTTCCATCTTGTTGAGAAGAAATACTACTAGTATCTTCACTGTCAACTCTCTTCAATAACCCAGTTATTTCTTTTCGGTTTTTCATATTTTTCCTATTTGAAGAATATTCAAATAATTTTTCATCTCTATCTTCATTAAAATATGCATCATTAGAGTGTTCAGCAGTTAAATATAAATTAGACATATCTTGTATAAATTGAGTTTTCTGAAAGTTTCCTGCAGCTTCTTCCTCACTCGTTTTGTAATCTGTGCTTTTAGGAACCATTTTTGTAGAATAAGAGAGATTATTGAAACCTTCATCATCTTCATAGTCATTATACTTAACATTATAATTGGCGTTCTGATTAATGCTAGAAGTGAAAGGTAGTGTAATTTCATTATCCAGTGGTTCAAGAGGTATAAAATCTGGAGCTGCACATATGTCTGCCTCTTCTGATTCTTGATAATCATCATGCAGTATGGATACTTCATTATTTTTTATTTCACACTCATCTGTGGCCCAAAGGTTTGGTATATCTTGCAAAATCTTTGTAGGGCTTGTCACAGATTGTGTATTCAATAGTTCCTGTTCAGGTACTTCATCTAAAGTTGGGCTTACTGTAACATTCTGACTACATGAAATAGAACAAAAGTTACCATTTGTATCAAAATAAAATATTTCTTGTTCTGCAAGGGAATTGTCTAGTTCAGGAACTGTAGAATCTGTGTCAATAATGGAATTATCTTGTTCAGTCATAGAATTATCTGGTTCAAATTCTTTGCTAATTTGTTCAATTACAATTTTTTCTGGACCAATATTTTCATTTTCATGAAGAAGGATTGCATTTTCCTGCGTACTTGCAGAACTCACTTCCTGAATGGCAGGGATGGTAGGTTCAATGAT